TTTTATCGATTTATAGTTAAACATATATGTAATCACATAACCCTACCACGTCATGTTCTATATTGAACTAAGCGTATATGTCAGAATAGATTATCAAGGAATTTCCATTTATATTAATTTTCAAAACGCTGCGGGCTATTCTTCAGATCAAAAAAATCCAGCTTTTGATTGCATAAAAGCATTACAATTCCACAACTCTCCCCACCCCCGCTTCGAACTCTGATCCCGTCCCGCGCTCCGGCCCCGCCCCACACTCGAGACCTGCCTTTCGGGCTTGGAACTGCCCGTTGAACGCGCCTGGAGCCCTCCTCCCCCGCCGCCAGCCCGGCCCGGTGGGTGGGCGCGGGGCCGCCCGGACCGCTGGCGGCGGTGACTCGGCGACCTTGGCCCGGAGGCCCTAGCGGGACCCAGCCACTGCGGCGGCGGCGGCGCGGACTTTGCCCAGCGGCGGACTGTGAGCCCGCGGGCCGGCCGCGGAGATGTTGGCATTCGCCGTCAGGACCGTGGTGAGTGCGGCCGGGAGCCCGGCCTGGCGGGGCTTGGCGGGCCCCGGGCGGCGCGGGCGGGCCCTGCAGCTCTGCCCGATGGGGAACCAGGTCCACAGGCTGTCAGAGGCCCCTTCGGCCTGGCCTGCAGCGCGGGGGTGGGATCGGCGGGTGGGCTTCCCCGGGTTGGCCGCGGACGAGACTGAGGTTCAAGGTCAGAGGCTGGGTGGAACCAGGTCCTGTAGCGCTACATTTCAACGACCCGGGGAAGAAGTGGCACCCGGCTCCAGGCAGCACCCCCGCCCTGAGACCGGGAGCCCCGGGGCAGGCTGGCATGGAGTCTGTCACTGTTGTTCTCTGACTCACACACCCTTTGCACGCTCAACCCCAGCCGGCTGTGCCCAGGCCAGAGCCACTTCTCCAACCCCATCCAGCTGGTCAGCTTCCTTGGACGTCTCAAATGGTCCCGGGGGGGTTGTCTGTAGCCAGAGAAACTCACGTGGAGGCATCAAACTGGGCTGCCCTGAAAGTCCCGAGAGCTGGCAGGAGGTGGCAGGTGGCAGCCCCAGTGCCCTCCCTCTCCGCCAGGCCCTCCCCGGCCTGTCCACACTGACCCCCCCCCCCAGTCCTTTCCAGTGGGCAGCCTGGAGCAAGACGCACCAGTACCCTGATTCGGATTCCTTTACTCTCTAATCCAAGCCTATCTTTGTTTGCATCTCCCTCTGTCTTTGCCAAGATCGTTCAAACAGACATGCCAGGCCCAGAGAACTGACAGTCCCCGTCCACTGGCTTCTGGCCTAGAGGCTCTTCCAGGACCTCAGGGCTCCACCTCACTCTTGCCACCTGAGCTGTGTCCCCATCCCTCAGACAGCCTCTGGGTCACCCTCCGGGACCTACTGGGTGACCTGATTGCTTTACTGATGGAGAAACTGAGGCGAGGAGAGACTTGGCCAGAATCCCCTCGACCTGGTGACTCAAATCTAGTCCAACCCCAAAGCCAGCGTCCTTTGGTTTGTTTTTAACGCCTAAAGTCCCCCACTCTTGGCCCCCAGCCGGAGGAGCAACAACTCGAGAGAACCAGGCTCAGTGGGAGGGTGGCCTAGAAGGACTCCCGAGAGGGAAGCAGGATGGGCAGGGCTCCGGTGGCCACTGTTTACTCTGGTCTTTCCCAGTGTCTGCTCCCTAGTACCCCGATTTCAGGGCTGTGGTATACTTAGAGCTCATCCGTTTCTGCCCTC